AAACATATAGATGATGTTGCACTTTCCCTGGCAAAGTATACTGGGATAAATAAGAAAATTCAGGCTTTTTTAAGCACATCACTCTCAAAACGACTGTACCACACTTGCATCGAATCTAGAATAAGATACGGTATCGCTGTATGGGGAACCGCATCTCTGTACGCAGTTAACAAACTTCAGATAGCACAAAATCGTTACTTGCGTTCAATTTATAATTTAAACTTTATGGAATCAGTATCCGAACTCTACCGCACCGAAAATATTGACAAGATTAGTGATATTTACAAGAAACAGATTCTATTGGAGGGCTTCAAATATATAAAGGGAAAAAAAGAAAATAGCTTCCTCGGAATTGGTATAAGTGAATGTCGCAAATCAACACGAGATACTCGTATAATTCGTGAATATAGTCTTCCAATTGTTAAACTAGAGGTGGGGAGATCTGCACCGATCTTTCAATTAATCTTCTATTGGAATAGTCTGTACAACGATCTACGTAATATATCGAGTTAAGAAATCTTCAGAAAAAATATAAAAAAACGGAAAAAACTTAAGACTCAACGATATTTGTTGTTAATTAATTTTCTTTCTTAGCTCGCATCCTGTTTTTGTTTGTTTGTTCATTTGTTTTGATTTCCTGTTAAGATGCTTGTAAAAGGCCAACCTGGCCACAGTGTCTTTTGAGAAAATAAAATAAAATAAAAATAATCAGGATTTTTTTAATCATTTATATAAAAACATGTGATTGATATTCATCTGGGTTAAACTTTACCTACATACACCATCATGGCTAGTGTTGTCACCTTTTGAAAATCGCTGACCCGGATGGCATGTCAGGTTTGTTCGAACAGAAGTTCCTGATGCATGCGCAATGTCATTTTACAATGCGAAGAATAACGTGCATGCCGGTCCTAAATTAGCTACAGTTTGGGACTTGTGTAGGGTAACGTAAGTAACCTAAATTAAGAAAGAATGGGTACAGATAACTTAGCTTTATTTGAGACGTGTATGATCGTGCATAAAAAAAAAAAAAAAAAACAAAAGATCAACAGGGGTTGCGAGCCACATATTGGCATAAACAGACTAACATGGCAGAATTGCAGACGAGTTGTGAGTATGAGTTCTTTCACTATTAAAATAGTGTAAATTTGTAAAAATATTTGTAAGAACATCATAATTTCACAATTTCTACAAAATTCCCAGACAAAATCAATAGTTCACCCGAACAGTGAGACAATTCCCAGACTGTCCGGGTGGTAACACTAATCATGGCCGCACAGTGGGTCCTTTAACTAGGTTAGGTTAGGTTAGAATGTGAATCCTTTTAGTTTAGCTTAGAACGTGGGTGTGATATTAAATATCAACCAGACCTTAATCTGATTGATATTTAGTATGCTCAAGTCAATTGTCACAAAAAAATATATGGTAGTTCTTTAGGTACAGTACCTTGTGTGTATATAAATGACCTAATATACAGTACAGTATTTACATTGGTGGTATAAAATATCAACAAACAATTTTATTCATATAAGTAGAAGTTGGTTTAAAAATACAATTTACATGAATACAATTCCAGTTAAGCCCATATCAAACAGGGACTTGTGGTTTTGCTTTTTATCATTCACATTCTACATTTTACATATATAATTTTCTAATTGTAAACATTAACCAATAATTCTGCTTACCTTTGGCTAAAAAACGTTCTTCGTGAAGAACAGCAATTGCATTTACACATAACAATATCGCTTCAAATAAATTATAAAGCGTTAAAGCCATAATGACAAATCTTAACAAACCGTCCCGTACCAAAAGCGCCCTCTGTTAAATAGAATAACGTGGAGATCTGAAGACAAAATTCAAAATTGTTGCCATAAACGGCATAAACGATAAAATATTTATAAAAATTTCTTTAGATTGAGAAAACCGTGTGTCATCGGCTATCATCGATATTATAGTTTTTATAGCATAATTTAGAGGCCTGATGGCCGAGCGGTCGAGGTGGTAGCTTACCGCTCTGAAGGATCCAATAACGAATCCGGACGGTCGGAAAAATTTCAAGAAGTTTTTGCCTAAATATATCGGGTCCTGTACTGCACTAAGGTCCTAGAATATACCTTGGTTCCGCCCCACTGTGGGTCTGGCCGAATTAGAATTGCTAAGACTCTTGGTTTTTCGGGATAGTCCCATTGTAAATGTGTCCCGGTTTGTTCATTTCTAATCGAAACTCCGATTTGTATTTTTAAAAACTCAAATAAGAATGGTAGGCGATAGGTCTCGTGCATGTAGTTACTACCTATCACAGATTAGACAATTGCTACCTATGTAATGTCGGGTACCTATCAATATTTATCACAACGTCCCGATTTCTGGTTTTGAACTTATGGCAACCCTAGACCGAATCCTCTATAAGCCAAAAAAAGTCTCTTTTAGTGACAATAGGACAGAAAGTCAAAAATGAAAAAAAGAACGCCATCCGGCCGGCGCACAGGAGGTTCAGTAACCGTATATTTCAATGGAGTCAAATCGCTTCCAGTCATTTGACTGCTCATCATTCACCATTACGTGGTCTTGTACAGATCGCAATTAGATTTTCCTTATTTTTAACCCTACTAGTTTTGATTCCTTTTGCATCATTTTACTTAGGTGAGACAGAATTTTCAGCATCAAAACTAAATACAGATTACAACTGAACGTTAAAAAAGAGATGCGAATTGCAGTTTCTAAAGTTTTGCCCAGATTTGAAAGACCGAAGAAGAAGCACGCTCACGCTCCCGCTCAACCCCGACTTTGTTACAAGAATAAAATCTCAATTTAATTTTAGCGATATTAATTACCGATAAATAATTAATCTGTATTATTATTTCAAAAACGTGTATCTTTTTTATAAAATATTTATAAATCTTTAATTTATCAATTTAATTTTGGTTTTAAACCGTAATATTGATACGAGGATGGCAACACTTACGACATTGTATTACACGCTTTCGGATAGACGAATCACGTGTAACAAAGTGTAATTTATATATTGTTATGGATGATATTGCTTGTCCACGTTGCAAGACTACTAAGTATCGTAATCCTTCTTTGAAACTTCTAGTGAATATTTGCGGTCATGGTTTATGTGAAAATTGTGTTGAATTGCTATTTGTCAAAGGTTCGGGATCGTGTCCACAATGCGAAGTGCCACTTCGCAGGAATCAGTTCAGATTACAGATATTCGAGGATGCTTCCGTCGAAAAAGAATTGGATATAAGAAAACGAATATTGAAAGATTTCAATAAAAAGGAGGAAGACTTCTCTAACTTGAGAGAATATAATGACTATCTAGAAGAAGTTGAAACTATCATATTTAATCTGTCTAACAACATAAATATAGAAGCTACAAAAAGAAAGATAGAACAATATAAAAAAGAAAACAAAAATATCATAATGAAAAGAAAGAATAAGTTAAGCAAAGACGAAGAAGAAATAGACGAGTACCTAGAATTGGAAAGCAACGAGAAAGAGTGGCGTCGGCAGCAGTTATCGGAAGAAGAGAGGGAAATTAAGAGGTCGAGACTGATGAAGAAGGAAGCTCTGATTGACGACTTGATGTTTTCCGATCTGCCCGCGGGTCAGATTTTGGCCAGTCACGGCTCTCTGTCGGAAACGGAGAATGCATCTGGAGTTAATAGATCAAAACCTCCGCCTCGAGAACACGTTAAGTTTTCTTCCGGAATTAAAATGAATCAGAATTTATTTCTTCCCCTTCCTAAAGCTAACGAAAACATTTACACTTATGTGGAACCTACTTTAAGTTTGCATGGTCCGGGCGCTCCGGATTTCAAAAGTATTGAAAAAGATAATTATTTATTAAATATTCGTGCTACCTCGGATAGAGATAGGGCAGGTGGATTCGTGTCTCATTATGCGTGTCGGCGAGCTCTACAAGAATCTTTCTGCGGTTTGTTTTTGACTTCAGATATGTTCCTAAAGTGAAACTTTGATAACTACAAAGAGTATATATGTATATAGTTATAAATATATTTCAATAAATTTTAATTTAATAAAAAAAATTATGTTGAATTTATTGTTTAAAAGGCTGTTTAAATGACAATTACATGTTATTAACTGATAGTTAGCTAAGCTAGTTAAAGTTGCCTAGTTTTAAGTTGTGTCATATGTTTAAATTTTGATAAATAAGTAGAGTAAAAATTAAAAAAATAGTAAAAATTAGTATTGATGAATTTCATGAAAGCACTGAATGAAGGAGTAATAATTTGTGATTGCACTGAAATAATTTATTACAAGAAATCATTTATCACAATGTGCACAAATGCTAATCTTTTTGTATGATATAAAAATTTGAATATTAAAGCTGTAAATACTGTACATACATTATTAAAATTTAAGAGCAAGAAATGCTAAATGTTGATTGACATTTACAAATCCTTTAATAGTTTATTAAAGGATTTGTAATCAATTTATTAAATACAAACATCTATAATGAATTTCATTTTATGCATTTTTTTCTGTTGTTTTTTAAGTAATTTTAAACTAGTTTTTCAATACAATCTTTGCTGACCATATAAGTTCTCATTTGGTTATTAGTTTTGTTCAGGTTTGATTTTCCACATAACAATACTATAGAGCAGGGGTGGCAAACCTATGGCATGTAAGGAGAAATCATCTGGCATGTAATGTATCATACGATTTCTGTCTTTTTCAATCATCTTTTCGGTTTATCAGCTGATCATCCTTTTTTCAATCAGCTTTTTTACATTTATTCTAATTAAAGCGTATTCGTTTAATTTCTTTAAACATCGTTATTTGGAGTCTGAAACTTTGGCATGAATAAACATCTTTAAAGCGAAGTATGCTTACAATATGGCAAGCAAACACAAAAAGGTTTGCCATCCCTGCTATAGAGAATAATTAAGAAGCCAGGTGATGAGCTTAAATGTCTAGGATTAAGGTTAAAATGTGTTATTATTTTCCAGATTATGGAGATAATTTCAAATTTGGGATGTATTCTGCAAAATTGTTCAAATTTCTCAAAAGGTTGAACCCCAGTTGAAAATTGCTTTATTTCTTATAAAAGGAAAATGTCAGCACCAGTTGTCTGGAGTTTGCAACATTTATGTAATGCAAAATCAACTAAGATTCAGTCATATATATATATATATGGAATTGACAAGCAGTTATTTATTGTGACATTGTCCCGATGCCTGGTTGCAAGTTTTTAGATCTTGATGCACAATACTCTCAATTTTAGTAGTGTCTTGCACCTATACATCACACTTTTCCTGTTAACATGAGAATCATGCTAGTCATTTATGTAACTGTTATGGAGAAAATTTTTGAGTTGAAATAATGTGACTACTGGTCCACGTTATTCCAAAGTTTTTTCCAACTGGAAGTTCATATATAGTTAAGCGGGGCCTCTGGCTCCTAAGTTTTCTATATTTGGTCTCAACTTTCATCTAACTCTTTTCTTGAGATTAAGGAATGGCAGATAGACAATAGACACCAGTGGAAATTTATAACACTGGACAAAATCAATGCAAGAATTCATTCTGATAAATCAAGATTCAGTCTGAAATGATTATCATATTTTGTATATATCAGAAATTTACTATCATTCTACTAGAAAAAAACATTAAAGAAGGAAACTGCAATAGAAATGTAATATATATACATATAAAAACATCTAAGATTAAATACTTATTGATTTTCTGATCACACCATCTGAATATTGATTATTCAACAACCTTATTCTCTAAAATTCTAGAAAAGACAAGATGACTTTACTGTTTATCTGTTGTCATTCAGTTGTCCTTGTTCCTGTTTTTGTCGCTGATGTTATTTTTCCTGAAATTGTTCAGTCCAAGTGTGTGCTTATGATTTGCAGCATTTTTACAATTAAGATCTTATAAAAGCAAGAAAAGCACTAATTGCAAATATTCAATTTTATTTTTTGGATTTTTTTTTACTATTTCTGCCCTCTGGGCATTAAAAGTCTTTTCATCAAGCCCATTGTGGATATGGTCAGAGCCACAATGGGGCAGATGGAGTGGTCCAACATCTGGGATGGACCACTTCCGCGAAATTCCAGGATTTTCTACCCATCCGGATGCATTCTCAGGTCCTCCAGAGTGGTAGGCTGATACCTTAATAACTCAAACATTGACAATCTTTTTTGGGATAGGACAGGGCGGAATGAAAGTTGGTATTATTAATCATCTTTAAGCATCCTTTAACTTCATTTAAAACTAGTTTTCTTAATAAATTTATTTCGTAGATCTTTATAGAAAAGAACAATACTTTTCATTCAAACACTAGTTCATTTAATAAGTATCCACTATTTTATATTACTGTCGTGCTTACTNTAGAAAATTAATGAATACACTGTGTACAGTAATTTACCTGATAAGACAGACCTCAGAAAAATACTTTATGAGAGCTTTTATAAAGCTGTCTATAATGAAAATTAATAAACTAAGGATTTTTTTGCCCTGCCAGGGAGTGGCCGAGTTATCCAGAATGCCGGGTTATCGAGAGCCGAGTTTTCGAGGTTCTACTGTACTTTTCATTCAAACACTAGTTCATTTAATAAGTATCCATTATTTTATATTACTGTCGTGCTTACTATTTAATATTAATTATTCCCAATCATTTTACTAAATTTTATTATAATATATAAATATAGAGGGGTGCAAAAGTAGGTATACAGTTGTTATTATGGGGAAAAAACATACAGGGAGAAAATAGGAAGAAAAAACATTTTATTTTTATGTACAAATTAAATCACAAATAAAATAAGGAATATGAACAAGGAACAAATAAGGAATCTTTTATTATGATGATGATGATAATAAACACCAAACATTGTATTTCTCACATTCTCAACTGTATACCTACTTTTGCACCCGTATGTACGAAATAAGGATATTTTTTCTTCTCTACTTGAGGTCTTAGTGACTCTCCAATATATCATTTATAGTTAAAGCATTATGTGCTTTAAAGCAAAATGTTTCTAAGATTTTTAATTATCTAGTAATATATTTGCAAGTTTAAAAATGTATTAAGCAAAACAATTTTTAAATCAATAGAATTTGACATATTTCAGGTTAATTTTGATATTGATTATATAATTATTTATTGTAAATTTAACAGTAAACTGTCTATATTATATCAATATTTTTCTTATATAAATTGTTTTTATATCTTTACGTCTATTCCAAAGCATTTTTTCCATACTATTAGCATTTCATTATTTTAATTTATACAATTTGTAATTCACAATGTCTACTTTTATATTTTAAAAGATAATGTAACTTATATATAAAAATTCTCTGTTTAAAAAAATCTCACATCAGTTCACACACAACTTATTTGGTTTTGATGATAATGACTTTCTAAAATTTTTTCTTTACTCATTTTGCTAATTTACAACAGGTCTCTCGGTTTTCATTTACCATATTTTCAAATTATGTATTCCATTTATTACAAGTATTTCTTATTCCAAGTTCAGTAGAATGAACAAATTTAAATGATTGCAATAAATTAATGTAATTAGTACATGGTCTGGCCCAAAAGTATACTGATTTTTTATTTCAAAGTACACAAGAGTTACATTTTCTTGCTGCTTCCTCACAAATTTATAGAATGAGTAAAAGAACACAATATGCCACCTGTGGATCTTGAATCTCACAAATAATTTTGACTGATACTAGTTTCTTCCTTACTTGATTTTCATAGCACTGTTACATCCATTATAAAATACTGTATACTAAATGGAGAAGACACCGAGGATGGCGTTATGTGTCTTCTCCATTTAGTATACAATATTTGGTGTGAAAATCATCATATTGATCATTATAAAGTATTATACATGTATCTGATAACCTCTTGAATGGCAAAATTCTAGAGAATTGTTTTAAGAAATTCATAGTATATTACTGTTATTAAATTGCTATTGCTGAGATCCCAATATATTAGTAAAAATGTTGCTTATATTTATTAATAAAGTAGCATATTTTCTCAATTAAGTCCAGGGGAATAAAGTTACCATTAAAAATAAACCCTGAATTATGAAAAATGTGTAAGTACTGCACTGTATAGGGCAGGGGTGGACAACAGTTTTTGCCCTGAGGCTGAATTGGAAAGAAAACTTTTTCCACGGGCCAAATCAGAGGCTGCCCTAGGAAGATTTTGAGGTGGTGTGAGATCTCATTGTGGTGTCACCCCTTAGAGACTAAATTGTACATAGAGATTACAGATACATTTTTCACATTATCATGCTTTATCAACATTCTATGCTATACTTGCGAGATTTGTAATGAAGCGTTAACTCTAAATGCACAGTGAGTTGTTGACCTTTTTTTTTTTTCTTTAGGTGTCAGAATTTTTCATCGAGCTATTTGGACTTGAGTAGCTAATATTGAAAGATTGATCGTGGGCCACATAAATTCAGGGTAATATAGCTGAGAATTTTAGTTAAATTCCTTACCTATTTATTCAAATAATCTAAAATTTAACAGCACTTTCTAAGTTTTGTGGAAACATTTTTGGAAATAAAATTATAAATATTGTCAAATATTTGAGCATGAAAATGTTGCAATAGAATTTATAAGAGCTTATTGGCCAAAACATAATTAGGAAACCTAACCAGAAATAGATGGAAAGTTTGAAGCAAAAAATCGTAGTCAAGATCCCAATTCCAACAACGTTGAAATGGACACAAATGACAATGTAACTGAATCAGAAGATGCCAAATTGGGTTTTGTCATTATAAAAATAGTAATTACAGTATTTTTTTGTCTTATAAGACATTTGTACCTAAAATTTATCTGAAAATTAGGATGCATCCTATAAAGCCAAATGTATTTCATGCTGTAAATATTTTTTTTCCTTTTAAAAAAACTGAAAAATGTGATGCATAAGATGAAAAATACAGTAATTTCAATTGTTGTAGCTGTAACTCATAAATGCAATCAAATCATTTTGAAGTTCCAAAAATGAATAATTAAGGTATTTCTCTCAATATTTACTCATCTCTCTTCTCTCCTCCCCACCCTAGGGTTTATTACCATACAAGTTTTGAAAATAAGCTCTCCAAGGTTTAATTAAGAAAATACAGTGTATGTACTGTATACTTGGTTGTACATTATTATAATAATTTCCTTTTTGAGGAAAAAAAATATTTTTGGGAATATAAAAAATATATTCAAAATGCTTCAAACTTTATGTATATTGTATTGTACTATTAGAATATGCTTGTATTTGTATTTTGAAACACGCAAACAAATATAGAGTAAATAATGTTAAGACAATTATTTATTCTATTAGTTTTTCTGGATTTAAAGTAACTATGAAAACATTGGATTGTGATTTTCATTTTTTTATTTTTAAATGGAAATACTACTGCAAATTTTACCATAAGTTGCCATTACTACAAACGGCCACTACAGTTACTGTGGTCGTCATTGTTAGTATTGAAGTTACTGGTACTAGTATTTTAAAAATCTGGTAGATGGGAAGAGCTAATAGGTAAAATACAGAATGCACATAGGTTACATACTTATGAAAATATATGATAATGAATTCATTTTAGTTAAATGATAATTTTCACACATTAATTAATCATTACACATTCAACTCTTTAATTTGAATACCAGGAAGAAATTGAGAAAAGCTCAAATTATCAAAAATTTGACTTAGACTTTATGAAAACATAGTTAAACAACTCTGCTATATAGATGGAAATTACCAAAACTGGGGAATCCTTGACACTTCTGTCCATTCCCAGAAATTTACAGAAAAAAAATGCATCCAAAAACACACAAATATCATATAAAATATTCAAATAAAACCAAATGTTTAAATATGTTTATTGAAATTTAAATTATTACAGAATATTTATATTAAACTGAATTCTTAAAAAGCCATATATTAATTATTTCAACACAAGATGAGAAGTAAACAAACGTTCAATTCTTTGAACTAAATTTTTTTTTATAAAATACTTTACTTAAAAGTATAATTACAAATTTCAATGTAAAAATTTCTTAATGTAATATAAAATTAAATGACAAGAAACAAAATTAAATATGAAATCACATTTTAAACATTTTTGACATCAGTACATTTATGAGGAGAAAAATTATATTTTAAGCCTAACTATCAATTGAATCACACCACACAACCAATATTTTTTTTTCACTTTGAAATATTAAATTTTAGTTGTTATTATTAAAATTCTAAATAAAGGTTTTTCAATTAAAAATTTTAAGAATTTTTAAAGTTTACAAATTTATATAATGTTGAATATTTCAGTTAAAACATTTTAATGGCATCATCTATACTGTCAATGTGTTCTTTTAATGAATTCCATTGATCCAAAGACAAACATATTCCTGAAAACAAAAAAAAATTTTATTACAATCAGTAAATACTTACAATCAAAAATATATTACAAGAATTTAAATTTGAATGTTTAATTTTATTGCAATGGTTAAAAAATTTTAATGTGCATAAGAATATTTTAAATTATATGATCTTGATTTGTTCTCATTTACAAATTTTTAATGAACAGAAATGCAAATGTCACAAACAGTGGTGCACCCAGGATTTAATCTTGGGGAGCTGAACGAACAGATAAAAAAATTTTTAATGCGAATTTGATAAAATTCCTACATTATGTGATTCATTAGTACTATAGAAATAGAAGACATGGCACAATATACAGATTCAGATTCTTTTAATGAAACATACAAAAAATTAGTACATACATAGCGCTGTTTACACACAGCCAAGTAAATATACTGTAAATAAAAAATTAACTTAATTTAGAGAATTTTATAGTGCTTGTTTTTCTTTTTGTGTAACAAATGTAGTCATGTTTATCAGTTTCAATAAGGATAAATATTTTTTACACCACATTCTGTTTTAGAATAAGACAAGACTGATAAAAAAATGCTCACTGTATTTAATTGTAGTTTATAAAGAATCGATAGTATATACCTTATATTACTTTATGAATCTTAAATAATCTTGTTTACAGATCTCCCTTTATAACATCAGGGGAAACCACAGTATATGCAGTATAATATATATATAGGTAAATTATGTGTAACAGAATGAAAAACCATTAAAAAGGAAAACTATAAAAAAAATGAACTTTGGTTCTAATAAAAATTTAATCATTTTATTATATATATATTATTTATTTTTATGAGCATTTATAACATACTAGCTTACCTGTCGCACATTGCTGCGATCTCAGAAGAAACAAAATTCAAGCATACTCGTTATAATAAAATTCAATTTACATTTTATCATTTTCATTGAAAATTATTATTATTATTAATTTTCATCAGGAAAACATTTCAAAGTGTCATTTCAATTCTATTTATTTATTGGAGTTCTTGTGGATACACGATATTCTTTTTTCCATCTAGTGCGTTCACGAATAAATCAAAGGTTTTCTGACGCGTGAGCTGGCCACATACAGTCATCCATGCGAGAAGCACGGATTCTCCAAATTTAGCCCACACATTTGCAGCGATTGTCAGAAGTGATTCCTCATTTTTATATATTTTTTAAAATCCTTTATAATTTTAATTATTTAATTGCTCCTTCCTCTCTTCTTGGTATGTTGTGAAATATCTGATAGTTGGATAATAAACCGTTTTATTGTAATTTGTCTTTTTAAATTATTTTGAGTCGATATTAAAATTTGAAAAAGGTGGGATCCCTAGATCAGTAAAATAGGCAAATTTCCTCCTACAACTTCGGTTGTTGTTTGGGATACAGTTAAGGTTTTAACAAAGTTTGAGCGATTAGCTAAAAATAGTTGAAATAAAGTGATTAAACAAAAATTATTACAAATATCGTAAATAACAGTTCACAAATGCATATACAGTCGACCCCCATATAAGATCATTGATTATTCCGTTTTATATGAATTCCATGTTGTACAAGTCACTTAAATTTTACAAATACGTGACCCGTTCACAGCCCGGTACACATATTTGTAAAATCTAAGTGACTCGTACAACATGGAATTCATATAAAACCGAATAATCAATGATCTTATACGGGGGTCGACTGTATAGATATATTTTTTGGAAAGAGAAATGGTCTTCACAATTTGAAATCCATCAATCTCACGATGAAATGCTCGTATACACTCTATCGTAGGATAAATGTACTATGTAAATGTATCGTAGGATAAATGTGACTATGCCAGAAATGGAGTGTATTAAAAAACTTCCCAAAGCTTCGTGGCAATCTTACTATGCCAGAAACCTTCGCGGGAGTATATTAAACAACTTCCCAAAGTTTCACGGCAATCAGATAAACAGTGTGGTAATGCATGAAGGACAGAGACACACACACACACACACATTCATTTTTATATATATAGATAACAGTTAAATTGTGTAATAGAATAAAAAAAATCAAGGTTTTTAGGCATATGAGAATAAATTTATTCCAAATCAGAAACAAAACATACCTTTCTTTCCTGGTTTTAGATCACCATTTGAATCGTAATATTCTCTAATATCAACCATTACCTTCCCACGAAATTCTCTTACACTCACATACCGCATTTTTGATAACTGCAATTTATATGAAAAATCTTTAGAAATATTAAAGAAAAACTTACTTGCATTAAGAAAAAAATTATATAGCAATGTAATATATATTTTAAAAATTGTAAGATTATCTATTATTTATAATTTACAATTAGTAATGCATTCTCTTTGTTGAAATAATGCCCTCCTTTATGTTATATTTTGAGACAGCATGAAGTGTTGACACTAGACACTGGACTTTTATACACATCCACTTTATTTAGTCTTTAAACTAGTTGTTTCAAGTGCCAATATGTGTTTTAGGCTGGTGTCCCTTATCTATTAGTTGATACACATTAGAGAGGTTGTGGCCGATGTTCAAACGTTACTTCTAGACCACGGGTTCCCACCTATGGGTCGCGACCCAGAAGGGGGTCGCGACGGGCTTTCTGTGGGGTCGCCAACTTATACAGTAAACTAAAAAAAAAATATTTACTATAATGCAATTTTTATTTTTAATGGTATCTTGAAGTTTGAATAATTTCATATACAGTCGATTCCCCTATAACACGGGTTCCTATAGTTCGGATTCCTATATCACGGCGAAAAAAATGCGACAGTATTCATACAAACATGCTAAAAAAACCTCCTATAATTCGGTAAAATGTCATCGCTGACTCGTGTCGCGACAGGATTTCACAAACCATTGAGTTTAAACGAGCAGTGGATCTACTAAAATCCATTTATTATTTAACGTCCATAATAATTATATTTATATTAACGATGTCTCCAAAGTTCAGCGAATTTTTCGCGAAAAAAAATGATTTATCAGGAAGCACGTGAGCGCCATTCGACGGCAATCTCTGCGACGAAAACAAGCTTAAGCAACCACGTAGTCGAACGGTGCACATTCGGTAAGTAATCCTACAATTTTTTGTTTATAGCATAGTTTATACGGATTATTCCCAAAAAATTATACGTATTTTGGAAATATTGAGTCGAATTAGTCTAGAATCGATTAATTTTATGGAAGAAACCTTTCAAACAGCCGTAGTCCGAAAACTGCATACGTGCCGGGCTATGATTGGCTAGACTCGTAAGAAATGGATTCATAAAAACAGAAACATATCTACCGTGTTATAGGGGGTCGACTGTATTTTAAAAAAATTAAAATAAGTGTAATCTAAATAGGCTATTCTGTCACAGTTGGTTGAAACGTGTTGAGAGTTTGAGAGAAATAAATTAAATGTTGAGAATGACACGAGGTTGGCGTTAACAAAAACTCACCCGCGAATTTTGTAGCTGGTTAATAACATGCAATTTCAACCATTGCATTAAATTATTAAACATAATTTAAAATAAAATTATATTAAAAAAACTAATTTCGCTGTTTTTTTAATTACCTTATTAAAAATGCCTTTTTCAATTGTATCGGGGTCGCGGGTCACTTGACTTTTATAAAAAGGGGTCGCCACCCGAAAAAGGTTGGGAACCGTTGTTCTAGACGGCAAGCAGAAGTACACGGTTTACATTTTAACTGCAAGAAAAAATCGTTGTGGTGGACGTTCACATCATCACGTGACTCAATGAACGTCGCGCATTGATTGATGGGAAATTTGTTGAAAAAATGGCAGAACCATTTGACGACGAATTTCCTGAGAGAAGGTAAATAAACAAATTAAGTTATTTTAAATTATTTTTAGGGTGTTATCACACTAAATAATTTTTTTTTTTAACTATAATTAGCATCGTGTTTCCTTGCGTTACAAACAATAGGAAAGTTCCAATGCGTTTTTCCTGTAATCACAATATACTCCTGTTGAGAGAAGTAGTGGTTGTAAATCTGTATGCGTATGATAATCCAAAAGGTGCTTGGAAAAGTATATCTGAAAATTTATGAACATATTATACTGTTGATGGTAGAAGATGCCAAGAAAGAACAACTTTACTTCTACAGTATTATGACAAGGTATGTGAATGCCATCTTGCTTCCCAGATATACAATCTATTACAAAAGTATAAGGACACCACAAATTTTGTGATTTTTCAAAATTTATTTAAATTTTTTATTAGAAAACAGTTTTATATGTTTTAAGACCATTACAAAAATATCATTTTAAGCTTTTTTCTTTTAATAATATTATAAGTTATCACTTTTTACCTGTTACCAAGGTACAGGCACACTTTCTAAAATTATATAAAAATAAATTTTAAATATATTTTAAACACTTTTAATATTTGGTTTCATCCCCTTCGGCTACAATTACTTGAAAAATTTTGTTAGCATGGAGTTTGTTACTTTTTTAATTGTTCATTCTTAATTATTTACAGATTCATATTGTTTCCTATTTTGATAAGCAATGGCTGCTAAAATCCCCCATAAATTTTCAATGGGATCTAAATCTGGACAACATGAAGGCCAGTTAATATTACATCAATATTTTCTTTTTTAAACCAATTTTTTGTTGACATTGAGACATGAATGGCAGCATTATCTTGTTGAAACAACCATTTATGTCCTCCAATTAATGCATCAAAGGTAATCATATTTTTGTCAACAAATACTAAATTAGTTTTTCCTTCCCATCCATCCCATTTACCTCCAAAACTACTCNGCGTAAGCAACCACGTAGTCGAACGGTGCACATTCGGTAAGTAATCCTACAATTTTTTGTTTATAGCATAGTTTATACGGATTATTCCCAAAAAATTATACGTATTTTGGAAATATTGAGTCGAATTAGTCTAGAATCGATTAATTTTATGGAAGAAACCTTTCAAACAGCCGTAGTCCGAAAACTGCATACGTGCCGGGCTATGATTGGCTAGACTCGTAAGAAATGGATTCATAAAAACAGAAACATATCTACCGTGTTATAGGGGGTCGACTGTATTTTAAAAAAATTAAAATAAGTGTAATCTAAATAGGCTATTCTGTCACAGTTGGTTGAAACGTGTTGAGAGTTTGAGAGAAATAAATTAAATGTTGAGAATGACACGAGGTTGGCGTTAACAAAAACTCACCCGCGAATTTTGTAGCTGGTTAATAACATGCAATTTCAACCATTGCATTAAATTATTAAACATAATTTAAAATAAAATTATATTAAAAAAACTAATTTCGCTGTTTTTTTAATTACCTTATTAAAAATGCCTTTTTCAATTGTATCGGGGTCGCGGGTCACTTGACTTTTATAAAAAGGGGTCGCCACCCGAAAAAGGTTGGGAACCGTTGTTCTAGACGGCAAGCAGAAGTACACGGTTTACATTTTAACTGCAAGAAAAAATCGTTGTGGTGGACGTTCACATCATCACGTGACTCAATGAACGTCGCGCATTGATTGATGGGAAATTTGTTGAAAAAATGGCAGAACCATTTGACGACGAATTTCCTGAGAGAAGGTAAATAAACAAATTAAGTTATTTTAAATTATTTTTAGGGTGTTATCACACTAAATAATTTTTTTTTTTAACTATAATTAGCATCGTGTTTCCTTGCGTTACAAACAATAGGAAAGTTCCAATGCGTTTTTCCTGTAATCACAATATACTCCTGTTGAGAGAAGTAGTGGTTGTAAATCTGTATGCGTATGATAATCCAAAAGGTGCTTGGAAAAGTATATCTGAAAATTTATGAACATATTATACTGTTGATGGTAGAAGATGCCAAGAAAGAACAACTTTACTTCTACAGTATTATGACAAGGTATGTGAATGCCATCTTGCTTCCCAGATATACAATCTATTACAAAAGTATAAGGACACCACAAATTTTGTGATTTTTCAAAATTTATTTAAATTTTTTANCATATAGATACGCGTTTCGGGCTTTCGCCCCTCATCAGTCTGTAACATAGATAGGATGTATCTTGTGGACATCTATCAGGCACCTTCCGCACTACGTCTTCCCTCTCCCCTTTCCTTCCCTGCCGACTTGACGGCCTCCCCCGCATACCTCGCAACGTGCAACGTCTCATTCCCAGAATGCCACAGCTACAACTGTATAAATATTCTATTTTAATAGTTGTAACCAGTTTTTGTGAATTTCTATGCTTAGATTCTTGTTAATATTATATTTGTCTGTAGTAATTTCTTTTGTCCCAATTTTTTTCTTTGTGTACTTTTATAACTTCATTCTCACAAAGTCTTGGAACTTATTAATGACGGTATTAAAATCGATGTTTGCAACATTAAATACATTTTAATGTAAGATTTGCCAAATATAAAAATTCTTAATTAATGTTTTAATAATGAATTGAATAATTTACATATTACAATAAGAAAAATGGTTACATTAATTATTACATTCACTGATTTAGTAACACAGTACCACAAACAATACACACATGCGGCGACATTGCGCAAAACTCGAAATGTTTTCATTGTTATGTGTGGCGGCCGAATAATTGTAACTTAGCGCTGCGTCTGAAAATCCAGGTGACGCTGGCGCGACGGTATAAAAGCATGTGCAGGCCGTCCGCCATCATTTTCCCCCCTCTCTGGGCTACGTTAAGCTTGACGAGTGTATATTCTGTACCGACGCTTGTAACCGATCGAGCTCTACTCAATAAGTGTAAAACAAAATCTTGTACGTAATTGTAAATAAATTTTCATGGTGAGATATAAGGCTTCGGTTATTTTATATAATCAACGAACACTCAAGTTAAGTGGTGCATCAATCACCACATTGGTGACCCGGAAGTGATCCCTTCTTTCGAAGCTGATCCAACTACGTCGGCCTGCTCCTCATCGATGTCCGGAAGACTAATAGTGCCAGAGACATTCACCAGCATTCAGAGCAATCGAGTAACAATTATTTTTTTATTTTTACGCTTTTTCACACGTGCTGGATAACACGTGTCGAACGACGGTAGCGGAATCATGGCGATCTACTTGCCAGAAATCGCCCGGATGGCTGTAAGAACCTCACCGTTCTAGAAGGTTAAAGTGGCTTCCTTATCCAACTGTACTAATTAAAATTTCTAAGTGACCTAAAGCATATTGATAATTTTGATAAATCCGAAAGAATGACTTACAGACTATAACCGTTTCCACAAATTTAGTGCTCATTCCTTAACTTAGTGGAAATTAAAAATAAATTCAGGTTGTAAATTATCTTGCCTTAAATACTAGACTTATTATACCGGTCATAAAGGAATTAAAACGAGTGTAATATTTAAGACAGAAGTTAATGCCGGAATATAAGTTGTAGAAATATGTATATTACTTTACATTAAAAACTGAGATAATCAATCTTTTAAAATGCTGATTTAATACTAGTGTAACGGGGTATTTAATTTTAGAATTCCTAGATTCTTGCCAAATAATTACATGATTTATCTAATAAATTTCATTAGTTTTCATCAGAAAAGAAAATACGGCTAAAAGTCTTAAATATTAGAGAGGTTGCGGTACACGTATCAGCGCAAAACGTGTACGGCGGACTGTCCATGCGCCGCCATCTGGCAATTCTAGGCGGTCGATAACGGCGTTCGCTTCGTCTAGAATGGTGAGTAGAAAATCGGTTAAACTTCTTCATTTTTTTGTGTTTGGGGTTAAAATTATGACCTATTTTATTAAGATAACGATTATTTAAGCATTTACGAATAACATTGTGAAGAAACAAACGATTTTAATCCAGAAATTTTATAATTATTCAATTTTTTAGCAAGTGATGTAAAGTATCGATAACATTTTTATGGCTGTGTTCATAAAATAGCTTATCATATTTCAAGCCAGTTTGCGAAGATCTGGAAACAGAAGAAGAGTTTACAGAACGTAATCAATTTCTACAAGAAATAAGAGTTAAAATATGATGCCCAGATAACATATGAGAAATCACAATCACAAGCCATTGCTGGACAGTGAGTCAGGGATGCAGTGATGACATCTTTAAGAGCATCATCTCCTGAGTTTCCATCTGGTAAATATAAAAACTTAAAATTTCTTTATAATACAATTAATACAAGAATTATATAATAATTATACGTTTTAAATTATTTTTGATGAAGATACCAATGTCACAAAAAAAAAGAAAGAAAACTTTGTTGTCTCATACTTACAAAGCAAGCAAGACCAACAGAATCATTTGAAACAAGAATTAAATTTAAATAAAGAACGACTGAAACTGGAACAAAAAAATTACAGTTGGAAAAAGAAAAATCTGATTTAGAGAGAAGCAAGACTGAAGCAGGATGGTGAGGAATGAAGATTGTTATTAGAATTACTTATGAAAAGTTTGAATATAAATTGAATAAAATATGTTTATAAAAACTGAATAAAAATTTTTTAAAATTGAAAAAAATTCTTTATTTATTATTTATTGATTTCATTCTAATTATTTGTCCAATTTGGGGGGTAAACAATTAAAATAATCTGACGTTGCACTACCGTATAAGCAAGTGTGACAGTTTGTAAGTAGTGCACCAACAATATACAGTTTACCGACAAACTGAAGAAACAATTTCAATTTTCTTTTAAATCTAGAAAAGCAAATATTTGAATTATTTTCCCAAATACCCATTCTACACACTCCCTTACTGAACTCATCCTGGAATTAAATACTTGTTGCTCGGGTGTTAAGTTAGCACCACGAAATGGTGTAATGAGGTGTTGATGCAATGAATAACCAGAATCTCCATATAAAACAAATTGGGTCCCTTTCTCAGAACAAGGAATTGCAGCCAACTGCTCTAACAAATTAGATTCTCTTAACATTCCACTGTCGTGATGTTTTCCTTGTAATAGTCCAAATAAATTAGCAATCATACCATCAGGTGTAATGATTGAAATTTCAAACAATGTATATGTTTATGGCCACTGAATACCACCCTTTGATGTGTTATTGGTCGACAAATAAAATGTGCCATTCCATCTATGAACCCCCAACAATTTGTCAATGGTGCATCTTTTGCTGCTATCACTTGGCTGAAGAATTTTAATTTTTCTCTTGTTAGTTTTATTTTGTTGATATTCAATAACTATTTGGAATGGCTACTGTAAATTATATTTAGTGTTTCACGTATAAATCGTAAAAGTTAAGTTTTTGTTCTCCCCAACAAAACAGAAATATCATCAAGTCTATTAGGATAAACTAATCTTCGTAAAAAATACATAATGCATCAATTCCAAGTGAGCGCAATCCATTTTCACAAATAATTACAGATGGAAGGCGTAAAGCAGAATGGAGGTAAAACAAATCATCTCTTGAAAATCTGTTAAAATTATAAAATTTTATAAGTATTATTATTCCTTTTTTTTAAGTATTTACTTTACTTTATAAATATATCACTTACCAAAAATAAAACAATCAATCAGAATCTGTCATTTCGCTTAAATTCATTCTTACTTTCGTCACCGGTATAGCTTTAGTGATATGAAGTAATAAAATGGCTTCTTCATCACTTTCATTCTCATCCATTAAGAGTAATACCTCATCAGTAAACTACAAATTTAATTTTAATTAAATGCTTACTGTGCGAAAATAAAAAAAAGAAAAATTAACACAGCCTTAGAGTTTCTGTGGTCACTTCACATCACNCCTCTATGGTGTGGAAAGCTGGACATTAAAAAGGAATACAGAAAGAAGACTGGAGGCATTTGAGATGTGGATTCACAGAAGGATGCTGAGAGTCCCATGGACGGATCGAGTGACCAACAACGAAATTCTAAGCAGAGCAAGAACAAACAGAAAATTGCTGTCAACAATCAAATGCAGAAAGATTGCATACTTGGGACATATCACTAGAGGAGAAAAATACAAAATCCCACAACTAATCCTCAATGGAAAGATTGAGGGAAAGCGTAAACGAGGCCGAAGACATTTATCATGGATGGACAATATTAAAAAATGGACAGGCATACAAAACATTGGGGAGGTAATGAGAACGGCCGAAGATAGGAACTCCCTCTCCTTGGTGATCGCCAACGTCCGGGAAACCGGGCATGGCACGTGAAGAAGTGCGAAAATAAAATAAAAAAAAAAAAAAAAGTGAACACAGCCTTAGAGTTTCTGTGGTCACTTCACATCACATTAAAAAATATTAAATAATTAAATAATTTCTGAGTTAAAATAATCTATTTTTTACAATGGCAGAAACATTTAACAACAACAAATGTTATCAGCAAAGGTAAATAAACAAATTAAACTATTTTAAAGTGTTTATAGGATGTTTAGTAACACTAAATAATTATTTTTAATTAGCGTGGTGTCTCCTACCATACGATCAGATGATAGGACTACCTCATACTTTTGTCGAGGAAAGTAGTGGCTAATGCAAATTCGAAAGCAGCTCGGAAAATTAATGTTTAGAAAATTTACAAATGCATTACACTGTTGATGGTAGAAGATACCATTGAAGAACAAATCTACCTTAAGATAAGCTATTATGATAACAAATATATGTAAATTCTACATCACTTGCTAAAAAATTGAATTAAATAATTTATGAATTAAATTCATCTGTTTCTTTAAAATATTATTCACAACTTCTTAAATAATCATTATTTTAACAAAATAAATCATAATTTTAACCCCAAACAGAAAAAATGAAGACATTTAAGCCGATTGTCTACTCACCTTGCTACACGTAGTAAACACCGTTATCGACCGCCTAGAACTGCCAGATGGCGGCGCTCAACCGTCTGCCGTACATGTTTTGGGCTGGATATGACAGCCGCAACCTCTCTATTCTCTACAGCAATTTTTACTCTATTATTGATGTACATAAAACCAAAACACCACTATTTACTGTAAACCAGTTAAAATTTCCTAAAACTTGATGTAATTTTTGTTTAAAAAAATTACTCAGAGTTCCATTTACTATGTACAGTACCAAGAATATTGCACACATTATCGGACAACAGCCATATACTGCTTAACACAATATATAATACCAGCAGATGAATCCAGCGTTACCCGAGCAAAAAACAACAAAACAGATTAAGATTATTAGATTATTTCATACTTCAAATCCTTCTGTTCTAGTATTCTAGTAGCCTGGGACACCCCCTAGTGGGCGTTCTAGCAGCAGCGGTGTCACTCCGTGGTATAAAGAATAAATTCTTATTACAAATAAAAATAATAATATACTGCATTTCTCATGGCGTACCCTAATAAAATGCAGCCAAAAATGCAAAAAACTGCATCAAATAATAATATACTGAATTTATTGTTAATTTAAATAATAGCTAGGATTGCACCCTTAGGGGCCGTTCTAGGCATACCATGGCAGATATACAAACAGCATCTCTAATGGCTTATATATTTAGATGAATAATTACTGCTTTAAGTTTTTTAACAATACAAAACTGTATATATACCAGGGGTGGGCAAGCAGAAGTTCAGTGGGAGCAGAAATGTAGGTTTTGCAAAATGCATGGGAGCCGCAGTTCTGTACTTTTTTATTCTGTACAGCAGTACTGTACCACAATTTTATTATATAATATAAAACAAATATTGAATTTTTTTAATAAACATATTTTCACAAAACTGTGGAAATAAAATTGTAAAAATAATAATAAAAAGCAGAAATTAACACTTTCAGCAAGAGTCACATGTAACTCAAAAAGAGCCACATTTGCCCATGTCTGATATATACATTTAATTTATATCCATGTACAAGGAATATTTGTGTGTGTGTGTATGTATGTATGTTATGTGTAATAAATTAACAGCATTTACAACTCAGTAATTATATTTGTAATAAGATTAAGGAATTGTTCATTTATTTTGACTTTAATAGTTATTATTAAACATCATCTCAAATATTCAATTTTTTAAAAATAAGAAAACTTACCTGAAACATTGATGTTTCAGCATTTCCACTACTACTAGCAGATTTCTTATCTACTTTTACTTTCTTCTGTGGTGGATGACGCTGTAATAATGAAACAATAAATCTGTTAAATAAGAAAATATTCCTGTAAAATGTTATGTATTTGAATTAGAGAAATGCTAAAGTTTTTTTATTAAAATGAATTAGTGATAAAACAGAAAGATCACACAATATTCAAACTATGGATAACCATATACTACTCATCAAAACTGCTATTAGAATATTAATATATAGTCTACTTAATATCCACAACAAACTTGTGTTTGTTGCGTGAAATGTTTGAATAATGAACACTTCACAGAACAAACACAAAAAGAAGCAATGTAAAATAGTGAATACTGATTGTCTTCCCTTGTCTCCAGGTGACAATTGAAATCTTTCAGATGTCAACATCGATGCTCAACCCAAGACCGATCGGATAGTATCCCTCCAAATTTTGAATTGTAATTTCAAAATTTAGAGGGATACTATCCCTTGTAATTTCAGCCTTTTGTTTATCTTTCTGACAAATAATGTTTTATAGTCTTTGCAAGACTGTCAGGTGGGTACTTGTTAAGTTTTGTGACAGTTTTAATTTACAAAAGGCAAGAGTTTAACTGTCCCATCAGATATTTGTTAATGTTTTAATACCAAATTTCTAATTTCATCCAGGCCTCACATTTACATAATTTTTTTTGTGCACTAGTTGATTTCTGTTCTCTGAATTTTTGTAAGTACTTTTCTGGACTTTTTATTTAAAAAAAAAACTGATATTATTATTTATCTGAAGACATTTCATCAAATTGATTTTATTCAAACAAAATGTAAATAAAAAATACAATCACATATTAGCAATAATGTGTTAAATTTCACAACTGTGATAATTAAATCACACATCTATAGTAAGTTAATTAACAATAGTTGCTAAAAATATGCAAAAACTTTGTTCAACCCAATTCAACCTTTACTTATTAACCATGGCATCTGAGAAGCATGTGAAAACAATGAAGTCTAAGAAGGTTGTAATATAGACGATTGAGATGAAAAAGGAACTTATCCTGAAGCATGAAAGTGATACATGTGTGACAGAATTGATGGCCATGTTTAAGATGCTGAAGTCAATCATGTGTGACCAATAAATGCAATTTTCATTTTACTGTATAGTACTCACATATTTTATTTATTGTTTTCGTGTTTTAGTTTATTATTAGGATATTTAATTGTGTTATCTTTACCTTAAATTATTTGTATTTGCTGGTTTTAAGTGAAATAGGTATTGCTTAGGGTCTGGGAATAAATTAATTCACTTTCCATTATTTGTAATAGGAAAAATTGATTAAGACTTCAAATGGTCTCCTGGAATGAATTAAATTCAAAGTAGAAGACACCACTGTATTTAGAATTATTTTATAAAATACATAACAGATTACATGCTGAAAGTTATTCTAGATTTTATCAAATTATCATTATATGTAGCTTAAATTGAAATATTTCAACCAAGATGACAGCAATTCTTACTTTTTTTTTTTTTACTGTTACTCTTTAATTTTATAATGCAATATTAAAGTGATATAGCATGCAAAATATGCTATAAAGATAACATATTAAAATGAAACTAATCTAATGTGGATAGTTTCTTTTCAATTAGAAAAAAAGGTATTATAACTAGAAATAGAATCCATAAATCTATCCAATTAAATTTCTTAAAATTATTCTATTAAAAATTTTAATACAAAGAAATCTTTACTCTGACTGATAATTTTTATTAACCTACAGTATGTTTAATCATTCAGTTAACTTTTGCAAAGAAAATCATATATTACTTCTATGTATCGGTAAATTATGGTTTAATTTTGCTTCAAAAATTCAATTTTTATAGACTGCATTTATAATTATATATCTATAAAATTTTTTATACATTTGGTATTAAGCATTCGATCCATTTAAACTTTGAAAATAAGAAAAAAACAACATACAACAACATGATTCTATTAGCATTGTCAAATGATCCACTGGATTAAGCTAGCAGGTCATTGCATACTAAGAGAAAAATATCTCACACTTAAGATAAAGCCAGAATTAAATTATTTTTCAGAACAAATTATAAATATAAATTACAATTAGTATCAATTAAATTTCAACTGAAATTGCAGTATTTTTTCCTGATAAAGCTTTGATTCATTCATAAGTCAAATGGATATAAATTAATAAACTGGTATATTGTATTTATATAATCACATGTTAAAAATAAACTTACATCTTCAGGACCAGAATCAGAATCACTACTACTTTGTTGAATTCTTGACTTTGATTTCTTACTTGACATTTTTTATCTATATGAAAAACAAATTTGTTAAAATCATTATATATATATATAAACAAACTATTACTCAAAATTTATAAAGATATTTGAAGAATAAAATTTTATGATTTAAGTCTTAAAAAATTTATGAAAATATATCATTATAGAAAATCTTATATCATCATCTTATCAGTAAATAAATGGAAAATAGATAATGTGACTCCTGAATCAAGTAAAAATATTATTCTAATCTCACAAAAAGGGATCTCTAAAAAGCAGACTAAAAAAAAAAAAAACAGAATTTGGAGATTATTTACTCACTAATGATGATCAAAGAAAAGATGATGTAGCATTTAATCGAAAAAATCTTTTTTAAAATAGCATTTGCTTCATTAGAAAACGGCAACAGACCAATCAGAATTAAAGACAAATGCAAAACTTTGAAAAGTCAGCTACAATTGCTGATAAAGGTATGAAAGAAACTTTTTTCCTTTTGAATTTGAAATTATATGAATATGATAAATTACTGTACTGTTATGTTAATCAACTCTAAAATTCCAGGGAAAATGGAAAAATTGAATGAAATTAAAAAAATGAATTTAGAAAACATATTGGTAAATGTTTGAAGAAGTTACAAAGCTGGCCAGACAGGGAGATATATAAACACCAAAGACGGCAACATGCTTTCCTATGCTTGGCGCTACTTATGTGAAGAACAAGAAAACGATGACGATACGTAACATGTGCATGAGTTCGAATATTTTAAAACTAAGCGTTCATTCTAAGAATGGAATCCGATTGTCCTTTTAACCTGAAGCAGACCTCGACTGAGGCCGAAAATGTTTGTTTTTACGAATAATTAAGAAGTACCGGACAACAAAGGTGTAGTAAGTACAATTTTATGGAATTATAGTTAAACTACTCACCACACTGGATTAATGATAATGACGCACTCGGAACCAATTACAGCACGGTGACGAGCGAAACACGAAAAAACAAACATTTTCAAACATAACAAATTATTGAAATTATTACAAAAGTTGCTACTACTTTACTACTTTATTTCCATTTTCTTTTTTTATAATAAAAGATAGGAAGTGGTCTATGGATAACAATTAAGATAATTTATTTGTACAAGCCAACACCATATATGTCAAAGTAAGTTCATTTTGTTATAATTGTAATGTATTTTAAATATTGCTTATATAAAAAAACTTTTTATTTTGTAGTCTGAAGAAGATCCAAATAAGTTGAAATGCATTATTATTAGTAAAAGATAATTTTTTAGAATTGTTTTCTAAGTAGTCAGTCTTGTGTTAAAATCACTCTGATGGGAACAATATCCTTAGATGTACTTTCTCATATAAGTTTAATTTAATTGTTACAATCAAATATCATAAAATTGCTTTATTGTTATATCACATAAGTATATCTACACATTTTCATATTTATAATTTATAGAAAAATTTTATTTTGATCATTTTAATTTGATTCTATTTTATGATATTTGTGTGCTATCCTGTGATAAATTGACCAAAGATGTTGCAACTCCCACTCCAGATCATTTGCACTCATAGATGGCTGTTGCTGGGGTCTCATCTGGTCACACAAATGTATGATGGACAACAAATCTAGAGACCAGGCAGACCAAGGAAGTGTGGTGATGTGGCAAAGACATTCCTGGGAAACCCTAGCTGTGTGCAGCTGAGCATTATCATGCTGGAAATTGCAGTCCTGCCATGAAGAGCAACATGTGAAGGTTTGTATTTCCTAAATATATCTGTGCTATCAATGTTTTCTTGCACCGCTACTATGACTGACTGACTAACATATAAGACTGCTCTGCCGACCAGCATGAGACAGTGAGCCATTCAATACCAGAGGTGAGTGCTTCAGCAATCATCAGTAGTTTACTACTTCCTAACATAGTACTCACCTGATTCCAACAAAACCAGGATTTATCACTGAAGACTCTGCTATGAACACTACTAGATCATAGCAATTAATCCCCGTTTCTCTGTCATAGAATCACCGCAAATGAAAACTGACAATATTAGGAGCTAATGAACAGAATGCATAGCATTTACGATGCATGCAAATTTGTCTCTGCAAGTTGTTTAGCTAATTTGTTTTTGGATGGTGGACAAAATGCCCTTGCAGCTGTTTGTGCTTTTCTGATGATCAGATGATTATTTCTCCTGGCAGTCTGTCCAGAGTTTGTCTGCCGTGTGTATACTTCCTCAGTCAGGTCAGAATATCCCATACAGCAAGCAATTTGACAAAACAGCCATCTTGTTTCTCTCAGCCCAATGATGTCTTCTTTCTCAAACATTGTCAGCTATAAATAATGTCTTTTGATTCTTTTATATGTATAACTGGCATTCAAGACATCCAAATTACAAGTGCATTGAAAATTCTAGACACCGAGCCTTTTCATAGGATACTGGAATAATGATTTTAAAGCACTCTAGTAATATTAACTGGCTGCAATTAAAGCACAACCATAATCATTTACATACATACCTGAGACATAATTACTGCAAAACTTGGCATACAGCTATATGAACAATTAGACTAACTTTTTTGTCAATGATTATATATCTTCTGTCAAGTAAACTAACAAGTAAACATTCAAAATTCAAAAGAAAATCAATATATGATTGTTAATTTATTTGTTTGAAAGTGTATTTTTTTTTTAATTTTGAATGTGTTCAAGTAAACTTGTTTGTTTGAAAGATATGTTACATTTGGATAATTATACTGTTTACTGAACCAAAAGTACTATTTTAAAATATGAAACAAATGTTGGAAAATTAAAAGGTACATTAGTTATTGTAAATATTCCAGTTTTATTAGATTAATGATAGATAAAACATAAAGAACTTTCACTGAAAGCTAATTCTTTCTATATCAAGATGTTTAATATTTATTCTTACTTTAATGATTTCTTGGAGTTTTACATTGAATTCAGCTAAGAGATATTACAGATAATCTCTAGATAATTTTCTGATAAATAATAATGATAAACATTACTATCTAGTGCAAGTCATATGCTTTTATCCTTTGTTTCGTGGCAAGTATTTAATAGCATGTTCTTTTACATTACTATTTAATTATAGGTGCTAATCGAATCTCTTAAGAATGAGCAGAACAGCTGTTTTGACCTTATATGACTGTTGTCACAGACAAAAATTACTATGACTAGATGTTTGTTTACTTAATATCAAACACTTATAATTATGTTATCTGGGTACATCTTATTTATAGTCTTCTTAGAGCTCATTAAATCTAGTTTGTCAAGTTTATTTGTTAAGCCAGGAATAAAACCTGCAATTTCTTGAACAATGTTTTAGATTTATCCAACTCACTGTCATTTTTTATTGTCAATATTGTAGATAATTATACAAATTTACATATGTTGTGTTGTATATAATCATATTACACTATAAACCCTAATGGTTAGTATAGGATGTTATATAAGGCATTCTACTCAAAAGTATCCAACTTGATTTGAAAAAATTAATGGTTAAAGATATAAAGATTTTATATGAGAGAAAAATTCACATCTCTATGTGCAATCCAGCAGTTACAGCAATAACATCAAGGTAGTAGGCAATTTCCTGCTATGTATGCTGCAGCATATCCTGTTTCACAGTTGCAATGGCTGCAATGATGCACTCCCAAAGATTCTGAAGTTTCTGACCAAAGTTGTATAAACCATACTTTTAACATAACCCCACAAAAAGAAATCTAAGGGAGTCAGATTGGGAGAACTTGGCAACCATGCTATCAGACATACCAGACTATGACCTACACTTTCTCCTGTGGCAAAGTCATGACTGGACAATAATGCTCATCATTCAACTTCTGCACCATCTGGCAGTATGAAAAAAAATCTCTATAAACTTAACAAGTTTTCTCACCAGATACCATTTTTTTGTTTTTATATATCTTAAACCATTCATTTTTTTATGGTGAATTAAAATCAGGTATTTTCAAGCAAAACACACTGTATTGTTGGTTAGGTTAGCTTTAATAACTTAATTGAAAATAAGTTATAAAAATTTAAATGTGTCTAGGTAATTTTTTTTAACTCTTTCTGCCCTCTTTGCTCTAAGAGGACCTTTATTCAAGCCCACTGTGGGTTTGGCCAGGCCAACAGTAGGGCAGATGGGTGACGAATAAGAATCTTGGGGTTTTTACCCATCTGGGTTCATTCCCATGTCTCCAGAGTGGTAGGTGGATATATTAACTGTTTGGCCATCTGGCTATCAAATGTATCTCGATGATGTTTTTTCAAATGATATGAAAATAATGTAACACAACAGACAGGGAAGTACAGTACCTTATCTTTTATTTAAGCTTTATAAAGTTTGTACCCTTAGTTATATTTAATTTTACCTTGTATCATAAATCAGAAATATTTTGGAAAAACTTATATCAAGCTTTGTCACTAGCAATTTCTGTTCAAATAGTACAAAAATGATTAAAAGAGAATAGATAATTTGATTTATTTAATGACCAATACGTGTTAAAAGATTTGGCTTATTGATCTGAACTATTTTGAATTAAATTTATAAAATTTGATTTAGTTTCCACTCAGGTAACTAAAATGAAATGACGTTTAAATGATCTTGGACCCTTAAAAATTAATTCATTTACATTTCCTATAATTTAAAAAATTCTCAAGATATTTTTTGATTATTTTGAATTTTTATTTCAAAATATTGTTGTTAATGTCTCTTTTTACTTCATATTAATTTTTGTCATGAAAACAATTCTTGATCTTCATCTGTATGAAAATGTTCACAAACCACATATTTCCTATCCACTTCAACTTGGGCTAAGTCAATGGACACCATAAACCACTATAATAGGAGGGAGTCTGGGTCTGGTCATGTAGTATAGCCTCTTAAAAATACATTTCAACTCAGAACATGTTTTATCTGTTGAAAATATGTCATATACATAGCATCATTGCATGCTGTATATATGCCTGGTAGATCATATCAGAAAAACTATCAAAAGAAA